ATCGACCCAGCCAATCACCGAGTGCAGGGCACAATAATGTCATTTGAAAATGTTCCAATGTTATTCCAATAGAAACCTCTTGTTTCAGTTTATAAAAAAAAAAGGGAGCAGGATTGTAAAATGTCAAGCACTTAGGGACGGATAGGGACACACAACGAGTGCTGTAACAAAGGCATTGCACAATAGAAGTGACAAATGTATCAGATGACCATATATGGTTATGTAATTCCATTATTATGCATAAGCTAAATATCTATTTAACTATTGCAGATTCTCAACCAATGTTTTAATGAAGGCATTGAACAAGAGATGAGACTGGTCATGTGATCTTATTAACATGCATAACTATATCTTGTGCATTGTTGCAGACAAATATGTATGTTAATTACCTAAATTCTCATGAAAAATTAATTAAATTTGGTGCATTTGTTTGCTGGAATAAATCACAGAAAGCAAACCAGAAATGTATACAATCGTGTTTATTCCTTTTGCTTAAAATTAGTTATAGTGTACTGTGGATCATCACAGCTATGTTTAGAAAGCTTATTGTTTAAAATACTGATTTACCCTAATTTTGCTTCACGTTCCTCCATTACCCCAGCATACAGGAAGTCTTTCTAATTTTTCTTTTCTTTTATTTTAAATCCAACAAACACAGCACTTTATTAAGCAATATTCCAGCATTGTACACACAAAAAGTGACTACTTTGCATTAATGTGATTAAAAAAAAAGTAATAAAATTGCAGTCACCTTCACTGTGACCACACAATTGGCAATAAATAATACAATCACTGGATCAAAGATGTGTAAAAATATACAGTGGCACTATCAAAATTTGAGTTTGAGTTACTAACTTGAAGCGACACAGTGGCATTGATGACCTTTGCGAAATTGTCTTCATGATTTTTTGAAGACCACTCAACATGAGGTAGAAGTGGGCGTGTCATGTCAAAAGTGGGCGTGGTCGGCCTATATCTATATATAGTATATCCAGAGAGCGGCAATGGCCTATAACTCCCAAGTTCTAAATTGAACATTAGCGGAACTTTGAAAAAATAGGATACAAGTCTTGTGACTCCGTCTCCCAGTATTTCAAACCTAAATTTTCTCACAGTTTAATGGAAGATTTGTTAAAAGTAAAACACTGCAATACATACTAATTGGTTCTCCAAGTACTAGTACTCGTAGGCAAGCATTTCATATTTTTGAAATCATGCGCGAACGTTTATTTTCTGCGCTAGAACAACAATGGGAAAGCTCCCGGGGAAAGCGGTAACCCTGGATTTCAGCTCGGGATTGTTTCATACCATTAATGATTAATTAGTTCATACAAGTCGGTTGAAATAATGCAGACACATTTTTTTTCAAAAAAAGTTTAACTGAACAGTGCCCAACATGCACGCTGCATGGAAATCTACATTTAAAGTTCCAATCCAGGGTTCTTACTGACCAGACTGTACTTACTCGATTTCGACGTGGCCTTTTGATAGGTAGCCATGTTGACAAAATGTCTGCCACAAACATGTATAATAGTCTAGACACTTGGAAACAACCATTTTATGCTAAGGATAAGCAAAAATTTCCAAGAAATGTCATCATTTTTTTTATAAAAATAATATATGTCAAATGAGACTGAGATTGTAATATTTTCATAAATCGTTGCTTATTGTTAGTACCACTCCGAAACTCAAGATAGTATAGAACCTAAAATCACCCTAATTCCAGAAATTATTTATACTGTTTTCTTAAAACTGTTCACCCCCAATTTATAATGGTCTACTCCACTAGTAGCAGTATCACGTGTTGCTATATGACCTTTCAACTCTTGCATCATGGTGATTTGACCGACCATGTGAGATTTTGAGTTTACTGATTCCTGTACTAAAAACCCGTCCACATTTGATTTCAAGTAAA